CACATATAATTTCAAAATATCTCAAAACACTTCGCAGGCCAGTTGCTGTCAAGTGAAGTGACTGTATTTTTGAGATTTGTAAGTTTCTGATGATATATCAAAATAGGTATTCAATATGTTTGGTGTATCTATGGGGCAGTGGAAATTAACTTTATCCTTCTTAAAATGCAGGTCAAAGGGTTCAGGCTATTATTGGAAACAGATTTGACCCTTTCCACAGCTCTCAGTCATACAGATTTCTATCTCTGTGAACCAATTGTGGCATTCACCATTTGGATAGAATATGATGCTTTGTGGCAGTAAATTTGATCTGCTTGTTCAGAGTCCATTGGAATCTGCAACTTTTGACTATTAAATGGAATTTCTGAAGTAGTAACTGCCTGATTGAAACCATTCCAGTCAACTTTATATTGCATCAGACCTTATGCTTGATATATTTTTCAAAACACCAGTGCTGCCGAACAAAGAGTGGTCAAATATTGCTTTGTTGAGGTTTTTCATACATGAGTCTAGTTAGTTTTAAATTTAAGAAGGCCTATGCCCACTTTCTCAATTTTCTATATCTCTCAGCATTTTGGTTAGCGGATTCATTACAATCAGTGTACAAATGCAAATTTTTATTGTATTGTACACTGGAATCTGAAAATTGGGACAAGGTTCTAAATCTGACCAACTGAATGTGATTTTGGGATGATTCATAGAACCATTGAAATTTACAGCGCTGAAGATGGCCATCCAACCCATCTTGTGTGTGCCGGCTCTTTAAAAAACGCTGTTTTCAGTCCCATTTGCCCACCCTTTTCCCATACCCTTGTTGTTAACCCCTTTTAAAACCATAGACATTTACAGCAAAGAAGAAGGCCATTCAGCCAGGGGGAACACTCAAAGAGCTACACATTGTGACTGTCCTTCAGTGTGCTTTTGCAGTCGTACAGTTTTGTGAGGAAGAATGCTGCAACTTCAATGCTGAAATTTATGACTTGCCTGTTTTTACCCATTACAATTTCTCCATGAAACGAACTCAGTTTCTCCAGCGTCAACTCTATGGCCCATGGTTGTATTTGTCTCCAGCTACACTGTATTCTGCCACCTGATAAAACAAACATGAATCCAGTATGATTATCTTTGTTTTATCAGGTGGCAGAATACAATTCAGAATACAATGTAATTCAACTGTCAGAATCATACTACTTTTTTCTTATGGGGTGAAACTATTCCCTGAATAAAAAAAGTGACTTTTGATTCACCTCTAAAAAAAAGCCTCTACTGGCTACAACATCTACACTTCTGTTATCAATAAATTTTTGGTCAGTCAAAATCAGATTCACTGTTCATTAATTCCAATTTACATATCACACATTGCTGTGGAGATAAACAATTCTGTGTCACGGGTCTAATGTCTTTATACAAAATGTACACCTTGATTTAAAGTTAAGCAACCACAAGTATGAATAACAATGTCCCACAATAAATCTTGTTAAAAAGAGTCACACTAACATTTGATGAGCAGCTCTTATTGAAACAAACAGCAATAAATACATAAATGATTCTCCACAAGTTGTTTATTCAGCTGGGAACTTACCAGAGTTCATCACCTCCAGAATCCATGGTCAATACAGCAGAATTGCACAGTTGCTGAGAAAAAGATATCCCTGGGGAATTGCTGACTGTGAACAAATTTTAGGAGAGCCTGCAAAATGGACAGAATGGATATTGTTAACTTAAACTCTAATTTTATTTCTTTTGAAAACATGCGCTTGTTATGATTTATTTTGCAGTATCTATAATTTTATTATCACTAACTTGCTCATGCTCCATCTGTTAGGTTTTTATATGGGCTCCATTACACAGCGCAATGTGACAAGATGTATTTAGTGTTGCTGTCTAACAAAGCAATAGTGGTCCAAAATCTATTGGCTTAGACAGAAACCAAACTCAAATATGCAACTGTGACTAATGATCAGTAAGTGGGTAAATATGAAGAAGGATTTGTTTTTTATATATATAATTCCTTTGCTGTAAGATTGATGCTGAGTTGGGCACATTGTTTTGCTGGTGTGCTATGCTATGCTCGCCTCGAAATTAATCTTGAAGCTAAGGAATTTAAAAAAAAACATAATTCATATGTATCAATCGCCTAATCATTAGTTACAGTAACATCCTGTTACTGTCTGTTTAGTGTTGTTTATGATTCAGATCCCGGCCTCAATACAGTACTTTTACAGACTGCAAAAAAAACAATCAATGTTTTCTTCAGCTCCTTAACTTCCATCACACCACAGCTTCATACAAAATGCATCTGAAGCATTTGCAAATGTCACATTCTATTTTTTTTTAAAATACTCCATGTTACATTCAGAAAAGTGTGGACAACCAGAAAACATATAAGGTGTGGTACTCCTTAAATAAAACATCTTGTGTGTGGTATGAAATAAAATGATGTGATAATAATAAATAATCCTTGCATTTGCTATAGCGCCGTGTCACGTCTTTGAGACGTGAACAAAGCGCTTCACAAAATACACTGCGAAGTGAATTGACTGTATATTTTGTGGGGTGAAAAATAGTTGTTCTGCAGTTATTCTGGGGAGGAATGTTTTAGAGGCTGAACTTGCAAAGGGTAACATCACCCTTTTGCAGATATGTGATCCACCCCTAAATGTACTGCTACACCACTCATACAGCACATGGACCATTCCAACAGTAAAGGCTTTTTCTGTTCATGCTTATTCCCTGAGTGCTCCAAATGCATTTGAGGCAGATGCAAAGGCACTTTGCAAATAAGAAATCTGTCCTTTTAAAAAAAAANCCACGGAATGGGGCAAATGCACTTCAGATCAATCGGCATCTTAAATACAAACCGTTACCGTCGGATCTGTCATCAGAAGCTGAGTGAGTGTTTTGGCCGCAGAATCCCCTGAACACCCGCAGAAAGGTTACACTGATCATTGGAGAAGTCACTCCTGTTTCACAGTGAGTGAGTGAGTGAGGGAGTGAGTGAGTGAGTGAGTGCAGGAACACGCCTTCACCTTAGTCTGGAGCCCCAACACAACTCGGGGACTCCGGGGAGAGCTGTGGAGAGGTCCCGGTGAGACTGTATATAAATGCATATAAATGCACTCGGCGATGGGAAAAGCCGACACAACGCTGTTTATTAAACACATAGCCTGTGTGTGAGTGTGTGTGTGTGAGTGAGTGTGTGTGAGAGTGTGTGAGTGTGAGTGAGTGTGTGAGTGTGTGAGAGTGTGAGTGAGTGTGTGTGAGTGAGTGTGTGTGTGAGTGAGTGTGTGAGTGTGTGAGTGAGTGTGTGTGTGTGAGTGAGTGTGAGTGTGTGAGTGAGTGTGTGTGTGTGAGTGAGTGTGAGTGTGAGTGTGTGTGAGTGTGTGTAAGTGAGTGAGTGTGTGTGAGTGTGTATGAGTGAGTGTGTGAGTGTGTGTGTGTGAGTGTGTGAGTGTGAGTGAGTGTGAGTGTGTGTGTGAGTGAGTGTGAGTGTGAGTGTGTGTGTGAGTGAGTGTGTGAGTGTGTGTGAGTGTGTGAGTGAGTGTGTGTGTGAGTGAGTGTGAGTGTGTGAGTGGAGTGTGTGTGTGTGAGTGTGAGTGAGTGTGTGTGAGTGTGTGAGTGAGTGTGTGAGTGTGTGTGTGTGAGTGTGTGAGTGTGTGAGTGAGTGTGAGTGTGTGTGTGAGTGATGTGAGTGTGAGTGAGTGTGTGTGTGAGTGTGAGTGAGTGAGTGTGTGAGTGTGAGTGTGAGTGAGTGAGTGTGAGTGTGAGTGTGTGAGTGTGTGTGAGTGTGAGTGAGTGAGTGAGTGTGAGTGAATGTGTGTGAGTGTAAAAAAAATCTATACACCAATTCTTTGGCCATATGTGTATAACGGGGACAGGTGGTGTGTGAAGCGGAGCCGCTGCTCCGGGAGCGGAGTGAAACCCTCCACCATGAGGTGCTGATGGTTTCCCGGATCCCTCGCGCCCCCTCACGCTGCTCGTGTCGGGGGGAATGTTTGATGAAGATTTACTGGGAAGTCAGTGAGAGTTTCCCTCCTGTGGGGAATGCAGTGAGCGCTGCTTTCCCAGTTCTTCCCGACTGAGGAGACTGTTGAACCCAAACATCACTGGAAGCGCTCGGAGTGCAGTGCTCTGATGCCCTTCAATGAGCAGCGATACCAACGCAGAGGTTTGCAATCCGCCAGAACTTTATTGAGACCGAAATATAATCTGCAGCTCAGCTCAATGCCACTCACTCACTGGTCTGTGTGTGTGTGTGGGGGGGGGGGGGGGGGGGGGGGGGGGGGGGGGGGAGGGGGGATGTTCACAGTGAGGACCTTCCTCCCTCCTGTCCTCCTTTGCTGAATTGCTCTGATAAAGGGCTTTGGCAGCTCGAGGTGTGAGGCTGGGCATAGACTGACGTGCTGCCAGGCGGGGGGGGGGGGGGGGGGGAGGGCAGGGGGCAGGGCAGGGGGGCAGGGCAGGGGCAGGGCAGGGGAGGGCAGGGGGCAGGGCAGGGGAGGGCAGGGGGCAGGGCAGGGGGGGCAGGGCAGGGGAGGGCAGGGGGCAGGGCAGGGGGGGCAGGGGGCAGGGCAGGGGGGCAGGGGAGGGCAGGGGCAGGGCAGGGGAGGGCAGGGGGCAGGGCAGGGGGGGGCAGGGGGCAGGGCAGGGCAGGGGGGGCAGGGGCAGGGCAGGGGGCAGGGGAGGGCAGGGGCAGGGCAGGGGAGGGCAGGGGCAGGGCAGGGGGCAGGGCAGGGGAGGGCAGGGGGCAGGGCAGGGGGGAGGGCAGGAGGAGGGTAGGGGGGGCAGGGGCGGGGTGGGGGGGCGGGGCTGGGGGCGGGGCTGGGGGGGCGGGGCCGGGGCTGGGGGCGGGGCTGGGGGGGTGGGGCCGGGGCTGGGGGCGGGGCTGGGGGGGCGGGGCCGGGGGTGGGGGCGGGTATCAGCGCTGTTCGGGTACTGACTGATCATCACTGACTGACTGACTGACAGCCGAGCGCTGGAGCCCCACAAGTGCAGCACTTCTTCACACAACTCACTGCAGAGGCTCAGCTCAGCGCTCTGTGGGGAGAGTTCATTCACATCAGGTTAGCGCTGATATATCTGCTTCATCTGTTTTTATCTCTATCTATCTATCTATCTATCTATCTATCTATCTATCTATCTATCTATCTATATCTATCTATCTATCTATCTATCTATCTATCTATCTACTATCTATCTATCTATCTATCTATCTATCTATCTATCTATCTATCTACTATCTATCTATCTATCTATCTATCTATCTATCTATCTATCTATCTATCTATCTATCTATCTATCTATCTATCTATCTATCTATCTATCTATCTATCTATCTATCTATCTATCTATCTATCTATCTATCTATATCGGTGTATATTCAGCCTATTGTCTTATTCCAATTGTATTTCCCATTTCATTTCTCTTTTACGTATTTCCAGGCTGTTTCAGGCTGTTTCTCGTCCACCTGGTTGTTTTAATCATTTTAATTCATCTTTTATACGACTTTAAGTAACATTTCTGGATGTATTCATTCACTTTGTTGGGTCTGAGATCCCCCAAGTCCTTCTTGTCATGGCCACAATTTGCACGTTTTCAATAAGAATTGTCCTCACCTCTTAATATGTGTGTTTTATTGTTTTTCTTTGTTGCTTTTGTTTCACCTCGAATTTGATCACATCCTTTGCCAAACGTGCATATCAATAATAGTAATAATAATATGACCAGTCGTCTCCGAATTCACAAATTTACTGGTGGATAAGTCATCAAAATGCAGTATTACTCACCAAAATCGTACACGGGTTTGCGACCTCATCTCGTTGAAGAAGAAAGATGCGGAGTTGGTTGCAGATCACTGCGAACTTCTTCAGAAACTGATACCGGAGTAAAGAGAGCCATCGCTTTGTGCCGGCATCTCAACGCTGCAGCCTTCCTAGAAAGAAGAGGATTATTACCTTTAACAGCCAAGAGGAACGCGTTATTTACCCAAATAGACCCACAGTGGCCAGTAATTCTCAATTGAAGCAAACGGTCATTGCATCTGTCTGATCGTGGAGAATCCGTAAAGTACCTTTACATCAACTTTTCTTATCATACACTTGTAAATCCGCTCCAAAGATTCAGCGAAAGGAAACAAGACGAGAAAGCAGGATGCTTCTGGGATAGGAGGATGCGATGTGCACAGTAAACATTTGGGATCATCCCTTAAGAATAACCATTTCTGAGGTGTCCCAACCCATGTCATTCGGGATTGTTCTACAGCCCCCCCCACCGACCCCCACTTCTCTTTCTTCCTCTGACCGGTTTTGCATTTGTCCCATTCATTGTACAGCTTAGGCTTTGTATTATTATTATTATTATTATTATTATTATTATGCAGAGGGTCACCTCCTTCTCCCTCTCCCCTTGGCTCATTGTCAGATTCCGCCACTGTGAAGCGCTCTGGGACGCTTCCCTGCATAAAGGGCGCTATATAAATGTAAGTTGTTATTATTATTATTGACTTCTTTATTGTGTGAAACTCTGATCAAGATTCGCCACAGGAGCGTCAGAAGGATCAGAGAGTTTGTCAGTTGATGCTGAATAACTTCCTCTTCCATTCAATATCTATGGCACAATAATGTCCAGAACTGTCTCATTGCTAGATCTGAAGGCAAGATATATAATAATAATAATAATAATCCTTGCATTTGATATAGCGCTTTTCACGTCGGGAGGACGTCCCAAAGCGCTTCACAGAATATACTGTAAAGTGAATTGACCGTATATTTGTGGGCGAACGCGGCAGCCAATTGCGCACAGCAATGTCCACAAACAGTCATAGATTGAAAATGACCAATTTATTATTGTTTTTGGTTTTTTGGAGGGATTATTATTAGGCGTGTGGAGTAAGGAAACTTGCCCAAGGTTTCGCCCTGCCTGGAATTGAACTCAGGTCTCTCACTTGCAAAGCGAGTGCTCTAACCACTGAGCTACAGGACTCCACGATACTGTAGATGCTGAAAATCTGAAATAAAAGCAGAAATCCCTGGGAACATGCAACAAGTCAGGCAGCATCTATGGAGTGAGGACAGTGAGTTAACATTTCAGATCGATGACATTTCAGGGGTTCTGACAAAAGGTCACTGACTTGAAATGTTACACTTTTCTCTCTCTCCATAGATGCTGCCTGACCCGCTGCATATTCCCAGTGACTTCCATCTTTATTTCATTGCTAGATCTGTTTTATTTTTAAATTCAGTGTTACTGGGATGTCTGAGAATTACGGAAAACATTTTGTATTTTTTTCAAAATACTGCAGCCATGACTTTAGTAATCAATACAACATGTCCAACAGCAGCTAGCCGAAACTAGTGGTAGTTAAATATTCTTGTGCTTCCTTTTTGTTTCCAGAGAAAAGCACCGAATAATGAAGAGCTGAACTGGATTCATTGTCAACATGGGTCCTTTAGAATCAGAAAATGAGGTCAATGTAACAGAGGAGAGAGAGCAGGGAGCAGCAACGGACCTGAAGGAATGGGAAGGTGATACCACCACAAATTATAATGGCCCTTATCCTGCCCACTTTTCCATAAAAGACAGCACAAAGTTACTTGGGGTGCAAATAACTCTCATCCTAGCTTATTGCTCCATCATATTTCTTGGGGTTATGGGTAATTCACTGGTTATCTATGTAGTTATCAGATATAAAAATATGGCAACAGTCACCAATTTCTTCATTGCAAACCTGGCAGTGGCTGACTTAATGGTGAATACTTTATGTCTGCCTTTCACTCTGGTATACACCTTGTTAGGTGAATGGAAATTTGGTTCAGTTTTATGCCATCTGCTTCCTTACGCCCAAGCTCTCAGTGTCCACGTGTCCACAGTGACTCTCACTGTCATTGCTCTGGACAGACATCGATGCATTGTTTATCACTTGGAGAGCAAAATCTCCAAGAAAAGATGCTTTATCATCATAAGCATCACCTGGCTCGCTAGTGCCGTGTTGGCTTGTCCTCAAGCTATATTCAGAGAGTATATAAACATAGAGCTTGAAGGTCTGAAAATGCAAGCATGTTCAGAAAAGTGGCCGAATGGGAATGACAATGATGGCACCCTTTACAGTGTATCCATGCTGCTGCTGCAGTATGTGCTGCCCCTGGTGATTATATGTTTTGCCTACATTAGAATCTGGACCAAGTTGAAAAACCATGTTAGTCCAGGGGGAGGGAATGATCACCACCACCAGAGGAGAAGAAAAACCACCAAGATGCTGGTGATGGTAGTTGTGGTATTCGCTGTGAGTTGGTTGCCATTCCACGTGTTTCAACTTGCCATCGACATCGATAAGAATATTTTCGATCTAAAAGAGTACAAGTTGCTCTACACCATATTTCACGTCATAGCCATGTGTTCCACCTTTGTCAATCCGCTGGTCTATGGATGGATGAATAAAAATTACCGGTACTCCTTCCTCACGGTGTTCAAATGCGAGCAAAGGCTTGATTCGATTCACTCTAAAGGAATAGCAAGGTTCAGAAGCAACACACGGAATGAAAATACGGAAGTGACAAACTGTCTATCCTCTCCAGCCATTCAGCTCACTGAAGTCAATCAGCCAACCAGTGTTTAATGGCATTCACTCTAAGCTTTCATACTCTTGCATCTGATGAACACCAACCTCCGACTGCATTGGTTTACAGAGCGGCTGGTTGCTACATTAAGTCAGTTAGTAAAATGAGTACACTACATTCCAATGTCAGTTTCTGTAAATAAAGACCAATATTTATTGTTTTCCCTAAAGGAGTTCACTCACTGCTGGTCAAAATAGAATTGAAAAAATAATGCTCATGAAAGTGAAATCCACTCAAAATTTGTGTTGTTGCATTCTAAACCAAATTAGTTCAGTATTATACTGTACTAAGAAATTATTTGTAGAGAGATGTATCACTAAAGTTGACTGGCATTTCTGAAGACTAAATATAGACAGATTCTTTCATTCTATCTGCAATTTAAGTGTATTTTACAGATATTACTATGATAATCATGATCAATCAGTGTTTGTTGATTAGGCAAATCCCTCAATCCTCCCTTATATAAAAAAAAGACCATGGTATAATATTTACATAGATTTAAATAAATTAAATATTGAATTTAAATTAAATTAATAATTAAATTAATTAATTTAACAATATTAAATAGTGAAAACAGGCCACTAGGACCCATTGTGTCCATCCAGGTGTTTATACTCCACATGAGTCTTCACCCTTCCTTATCTCCTCTCCCATACCCATGTATTCCCTTCTCCCTTATGTATGCAAAATGTGCAATGCATGGCAGAAGTCTAGATCCAATTCAAGTTAAAATTGGAAATGTAAATGTACAAGCAACCTAAAAGTGAATAATACTCTCCTATCGCTCCTGAAAAACAATCCCAGCCTGTGCTTGATAAAAGGTGGCTTGTATTTTAATTGTCATAGGTGTAAGATATAACTTCATAAACTGTCCTATTAAATTATATCATTTTTAAAGTAATTTTTTCTATTGAGGAACCCTAGGCAAAAGGCCAAGACCCAGAGTACAGAACACAGTAAAGGTTCAAAAGAATGGATAGAAGATGAAACAAATGAAAATGTATAGATGGCAAGTGTAACATTGAAAGGGTTTGGGTGGATGAGTTGTAATAGGAGATAATGATGAGTTTTGAATTCAACTCTGAGGATTGAAGGAGTTTGTGTGGTGGGGTATTTGAAGAGATGTTGAGAGTTTGATATGGAGACCAAGGGTGTTAAAAGATGGACCCTAAGGGATCTATTTCCAAACAGCTGTTATTATAGATTATAGTGTTATTCCGAGTTAACTTATCTGCAGAATTCCCTGTTAGTGACAATACGTTGCTCTTAGTGAAGCATGTTGCAAACTGCTATGAGCCAGAGTGGTTACAGGAAAAGGGTAGGTATATAGTCATTGCATTAATAATGTAGAACAAAGTTGCAGTGGTCTGTTTTTTGCTACAGAAAAGGAAGGCATAATTAAATACAATTATGATAAGAACTGGCAAATGGTTGGCAGAAGAGCTGGCAGAAAGTTAATTAAACAGCTGGAAAAGACTGAAAAAAATATGGGAAGAGATGTGGAAGAATGGTCAATGATCTGAGGAAAAGTGCACAAGTGAGCATCCTATTTGTGAATGCCTTTTTAATCATATGAGAATGTAATTCATGTTTGTAAGATAAACGAGTGAAGATGGTAGTCACTGTTAGAAGGGATTCTGAGCTAACGGCAACCATTTTTGTGAATATTTCACATCAAACCTCAGTGATAGTTGATATTGCAGATGTCATATCACAGGTGTTGTTGTCTGCATGTTCGGCATTTAATGGATGAAGGCTTCCATATGCATGCTGATGTTCCTTAGAGCATTCTCAAGGAGATTGCTAAGGAGCAGCAGATGGCTGACCCCTGCAGTGATGTTTAAATGTCAGTGAATCTGAGGAGATAAACACACCTGGTTTTCCTTGGGTGATATGTCAGTTCTTGCTTTTGCAGCAACTGTGGAAACTCAAACTTGCGTAGACCTCTCTCACAGGGTGAATCACAATGTGGTGCTGATACGAATGCATTGGTTTCAACAGCAGCAAGAACTGCTATAGGAGTGTAGCCTAAGCTACTCCCTTTCCTACCCCACCATTACTACTGCCACTGGTAATGGCACAAGCACCAGAACACATACAATGTAAATACAACACCTAGACAACAATGAATTATTATTAATAACAATAATAATCCTGTATTTGATATTACACTTTATCACATCATCGAGTCATTGAAACACGGCAGCCAGTTTGCGCACAGCAATGTCCCACAAACAGCTAATGAAGTGAGTGACCAATTTTACTTGGGGGATTGTTGGACAGGACACTGGAAGAAACTCCTTTCTCTTTTTAAGTAGTGACATGGGATCTTTAACGTCCACCTGAGCAGGCAGACGGGATTTTGATTTAAAATCTCATCCGAAAGATGGCACCTTGAAAATGCAACACACCCCCAGCGATGCATTGGAGTGTCAGCTTAAACTATGTGATTCCAAGTTCCGATGTGGGCTTGAACCCACATCCTTCTGAGTCAGAGGTGAACGTGCTACAACTGAGCAATACTCACACAACAAGGGAAAAAGGGCTACAAAAGGGTGACACAGAGTATATGTAAATAGGCGCACTCTCCAAACTTTGTCACACACGCCACATTTTGTAAATATTACTCAATTGTACCACTTGATGAATTGTTGTGCCTTTGAATATATGGCCTCTGTCACCTGATGAATTGCATGTGAGATGTTTCGCTGACTGACTTGTGGCTCCCTGGTCATGGCTTGTAAACCAATGATAACATATGTTTAAAACACCTGCAACCATAACTGGAAAGAAGTCCCATTTGTAAATCCTCAATGAAGGTTCCCTTGCAGAAGCCACACTGATTCATGACTGTCTAGCATACCATTGCAGATGTATAAGGACTGGCCCCTCTGTAAGGTTCAATGTATTCTGATTCTGGTTACATTATACATGGCTTCACGACACCAAAATTGGGCTATGATGTTTTGCCAGTACTGCTGCAGTTTCCTGTTGACAAGGTCATGCTCTTCATGGATCACAAGACAGAAAAGAAATGTGCTGCCCACAGTTGCTAGTTAATTTAACCACCATTTCCTCTATTGACTAATGAATGGTCAAAATTACCAACCCATGCATATTGGTAAACATTAAGCATATCCTATATATGCCTGCAATTTTGTGGATGCAATTAACCGAGAATTATATAGAGCAATTATGAAGATACTCTTGTTTAGATGTCGCCATGTATCAAAGTGCTTGTACACATTCATTGGAAGCTCCTTAATTCTTGTGGTTCTGTCGGTTCCTTACTTTTCCCAATGCAAACACATAATTATTAGTTGTGTTTCAGACTTTTAAGGGGTTCACAGCCGATTGGAGATGATTCATGTGCTGTGCCGACATGTTTGCTGCAAAATCTATCTGGCAACGAGGACACTTATTTCTGCTTACTTAGCCTTGCCTCCAAAGCAGGATAGTTCATTGTTGTCTGTGTACTTGATTATTTTGTACTGCTGTTGCTTAAAAAATATTAAACACCTGTTAACCAACCTATTTATTTATTTTATTTGAAAAACATTTCAGGATCACAATTCACAGTGAATGAAAAGAGTGAATTAATGGTTTAGCACTTTATTACCTCGAAGCTTTCACAGGTTACTTCTGTTAAGCGTATCAACAATTTTTGTAGCAAACTAAACAGCCAATTGCACCAGTAAAGTCCCATAAAACAAGCCATGAAATTAATAATAAATTTATCTGGACGATTGTTAGCTAATTTATCTAGAGTTTTTTTTTGGTCAGCCCACAGAAATCCATCACCACGCTTAAGAGTATCCAAATCAAACTGAGAATTCCATGCATCCCACCTACATATGGGAATTCCAAAGATAGATTGTTTGAATGCAATTTGTTGTCTAAGGCACTGGAGGGATTCCCTTTCTCTTTGCTAATAGTCATGGATATTTTTAATGTTTATGTGAAACATAAATGGGACCTCGGATTAACATCTCATCTGAAATTAAAATGGTCTAAGCGTTGTTGAAAATTTATTTTAAGTAATTTTTTTACTGTCAGTACTATATAATTGATTTGGTGTAAATCCAAGTAAGTAAATGATTTGGTGATTAACATACCGAAGCAGCACTTGGACAAAGATATCTCCAGGGATATGGCACATATTTAATTCATCTGACTCGGATACTAATCTGACCAATCTGTTTAGTAGCAACCATTCGTTCTAGTTGTGTGATTGAATCGAGTGTACTGTATTTCACAGCTTGAAAATGCCATGCTATGCAGACAAGGGATAATATGTTATACAGAATGCAATTATAGGGTAAACAATGCGGCTAGTGGTATGATAATGAAACCTGGTGATAATTATCATATCACTCATCAGCATTCTTCATCCCAGTATTTCTACCCAGATTATTTCCAATAATCTTTCTCACAATTAAAACATTGTGGCAACTGGATTTAAACTGATCGAAGACTAATAATGGGCGTGAGCAAATTTTATTTCAGAAAAGTATTGAATTTTGTTTTGGATAGTTCAATAGACGTAACCAATTTGAGTTCCACAAATCAATTTTAATCAGGACTCTACAATTGTTTCTGTTGTGAATTTTATGAAATGTCTAGTGTTCATATCTTTCCTAAGGTTTATCTTTTATTATTTATCAATTGTAAAGTTGTAGCTTGCAGTTTCTAACAATTATAAGCACTCTATCAAAAAGCATTTGTTCCTAAAACTTCCATATTAGTAAGGAACAATTCTACAATACTTGGGGCAACTTTGATGGTGTAGTGGATAAAGCTGCAGATTACAGATCAGCAGCTCTCAACTATTTGCATTCCACTTCTTATCCACAACCCTATATGCCTCATCTCAATCATGGTTTCCACATTATTCAGGTACTCACACCTCCATCTGTCTGTATTGACAATAATAATCTTTGCACTTGATATAACATTTTATCACGTTTTTGAGATGTCTCAAAGCACTTCACAGGATATA